ACCTGTCGAGGTTTTTCCAAGAGACTATAGTATGGGGTTCTTCAAAAAAGGGATAAAGAGGTTTTTTCAAGGTCAGCAACGCGCGCTTAATGCTACGGGTATTGCAGGCGTTCGTAAGCTACAGTAACCGCTTACCATCAAGTAGGCCGTATGCTTGTTTGCCACCTCAGTGGTATAAAAAAATCACATTATTATTATTATACTGGCTGTTTATTTTTTAGTATTTCTCGCAAACTATAAAGTGACCTCTGCGTTAACGATATACCTATCCGATAAGCCGTTTAAATGTGATTGAATAACAAATATACAAGTATCTTTACAAGCTTTCATATTTATAATATTAGTTGGATTTATATATGTTTTTTTTTTCATTAAAATCTATTTTACTGCTTCGAACATTACCGTAAATTATCATTAACGTGTTATGTGCCACGTAATGTTTATATGTTACTAGCTATAAGATACAAAATATACATAGAATTAATTAAAGAAATCCGCACAAATGTCTCTTTCCCCCACAATAATATTTCCATAATATTTAGCGAAATAATACTCCCTTAATTACAACTGCCACTTCTTAATAATCCTGAGCATTGTGCCCCATCGCCAGCAGCGCTTTAGTGCCGCTTTATATATGATCCCGGTTTCTTTCACTGTAATTACAATTGCCCACCCGCGGCAAACCAATACTTTTCAATATAAACCCAGACAACTTTTTCTACTTTTTTTTTGTTACCGCAGGCACTAAGATCCGGTTGCGGCCATGCAAACTCAAAGTGCTAATGAATATTTACAATATTAATGTTGAGACTGTTTTTTGTATTTAATCACTTGCACGTATGTACATCGAATGAATAAAGAACCAATTAACGCTTATTAATAGTTTGTGCACGGATTAGTTTTTATCGTACACAATTTTAAAATTTCGTAAGTTATTTAAATTTCTGATTAACTCTCGGTACCGTACCCAAGAAACGGCGGTAGACTCGTCTTATACCATACTGATATAATGCTCAAACTGCCGAATGAATTCCCTGCCGAGGTTTTCCCTAGAGACTATAGTAGGGGGTTTTTCAAAAAGGACATAGGTATTAAGGTTTCTTCAGGGTGGGCAGCGCGCACGTGATCCCTACGTTACGTGCACCTCTTGTGTTGCAGGCGTCCATAGGCTACAGCAATCGTTTACTATCAGCTGGGATATATGGTTGTTTGTCCACCTTCATGGTATAAAAAAATAAGTTTTAATAAAGTCAGTCATGTGAGCATGTTAAGTTTTATTTTCAACACAACGGTAACAATAGATAAATGTCTCTAACTAGCCATTATAATCGTAAATATACTTGTACCTATATATACTTATAGGAAACATGGGAAAGAAATTAGAAGTAATCTTTGTTCAACTGTCAAATGTTATAACTTTATAATTTCATTGTAACAAAAAACACAATATAGTTGTTCAGTAACGGAAAATATTAAATGCAACTTTCTTGTTTTGTACATAACATTAGAAGGAAATTGAACTCAATATTATCTGTCACACCGCGGTAGATGCCAGCTTCGCAATAAAACTTTTCCTTCGGTTTCCGGGGAGCTGAAATCTAGTTTCTTTACCGCCTCTCCTGTCATACAACTCTAAACTGTCGAAGAAAGTTCCAGATTTTATCAATAAAATGCTAGATTTATATAAATTATTATCGACTGTCGCTTCGGCGTCGAACTGGTAGATAAATAGAAAGATAACTTAATATTTTATATTAAATTTAATAATCAAATAAACCTTGGGTTACATTATTGTAATTTACATAAAGGTGTATAATTTTTTGAAATTTTACTTCGTATAATTTATTACTGCATTTGAAAAGGAAGAAGTTATCAATACACTTTTTGTGTATATGTAATGATATGAAATACATTTGTCAAATATGTCCGAATCAAATTTGTTAATTCTATTTTAATCTAAAGAACCTTTTATGTACTATAGATATACTATTTTTGTTAAAACTATACACACACTGGCGAGGGATGGGCAGCAGCGCCCCTCTTAAAACATCTAAAAAACTAAAAGCCTAACTGCGGTTGCCAACCCGCCTACCAAGCGTGTCCAGCAGTGGACAGTTAACGGCTGAAATAATAATAATAATATATACACACTAATATTCAATTACTGTATTATATGTCCCACTATAGACACATGAAACATTTGATCCTTTAGAAGCCATATAAATACTTTATTCCCAGTAGTTATCCTTCGATCAAGCCGATAAACGTTAGATAAAGCCTTTTACTTGAGATGGGTCTAATATACCGATCTGATTGCAATGATTAATTTGTTTTGGTATAATACCTCCTTCATATTACACTCAATGCTCGTACTAGGTAATATTTCACTTTTTAAAATACCTGAAGTATATATTAGTTAATAATGTATAAAAACGTACAGAGGAATAACACCTGAGTCCTCAGAAATGGCAACGCATGGGGGGTATCATGGGCGAAACAGTATACTCTGTTATGTCCATGATACTGCTCATGTCTATAGGCGACGGTTACCACTTTCCATCAGGCGGGCCGTCAGCTTGTTTGCCATTCTAAGTTGTATAAAAAAAAACCGCTTTTAACTATTTTTTTAACTATTTTGTCTTTTTCTCTTACGCTAAATTCTCAATTTGTAAGACAACATTAATAGTTAAAGTAAATAGTAGATTTTCAAACAAATCAGAACAGAGTCAATTCATATTCAAAAAATAAAAAACAAAAATTTGACATCTCATTGTAATGTATAATGTGGACAGTAGATTTTCATATCTATATAAGGATTATCCTATAATTTATCATTATTTATCAAAATAATAAGTTCTGATGATCAAATTGACCGTATGTTATCTGATGAATAAGTAAAGAAGTTTTGCCGAAAACCGGTACCAACAAGAGACGATTTAAGAAAGTGGACGCTGCGAGAGATTGTTTACGATGCTGAATGTAAAAATAAATAGATGTTAACATTTAGAGACTCAGAACTTCCAAACGAACGAACTCCTATTTCTTAATATAGCTAGTAACCATAAGTACCTATCTACTTATTTGTTAAACTTTATAAAATACAGAAAAGTACACCTACCCAAGTGATATTCTCGCATGCAATGCTTGTTATGGAATTTTGTCTTAAGAATAGCTGCACTGTATAATATGTCGAAAACGACGTGACTATTTGCGGCGGTCGCAGTGCTCAGTACTGAGCCAACTTGCTATAGTTTATTTGCGTGTGTCGCAAGTCGCTGCGGGCGTTCACACGGCGGGCGGCAGCATGAATGCCATCTCCGCACATACACACGATCAAACAGTAGTTCAATAGTGCGCAAAAAGTTACTAAATATTTTAAAAGTATTTATTATCAACATACATACGTTATCCGCAGACTATCCACAAAAAAAAAACAAAGTGACCGACATAGCTCGAAGGATAAGTAAGCTGTAGTGGTAATGGGCTGGTTACATGAACGTCAGGGAAAAAAATCTTGAGTGGCGACCCCGTATATGCAATGTAGGTCAACCACCCACTAGATGGAGCATTGAACTCAAAAGTATTGCAGGGAGTCAGTGTATGCAGGTAGCTCGGGACTGTTCTAGTCTATAGGTAGTCTACGGAGGAAGCTTACGTTCAGCAGTGGACAATTAACGGCCGAGATATTCGTCTTATGACGTCACATCCTATTAGGCGTAACATTCTTTATTTAAACGAAACTGTACATAATTTAAATAGATAAAATAAAAATTTTGTAAAATTATACATAAAGAAATTTCAATCGATAGAGCTAGGAATTGGCTAACAGAAAAAATTTACTACGTTGCTTATCTCAGGACATACCAGGATCAACCTGAAGTGCTCGCCGTGCTTCACTGGAAACTAATCAGTGAATTATCATTAAATACATTAATACATGCATTTAACTCTCTTAGCAACTTAGTAACTTTATTCTACAAATATTATTGCGTGTTGAATTAATTTCTAGAATAAATAAACTTTATACCATCAATAAACTATTATTTAACGTAATTATTGCAGATTAAAAATACAATTGCGCTGCAATGTATATTATATTGTACGTATTTATAGATTTATTATTAAACGTAGCTAAATCGTACAATGTTATTTAGGTCGTAAGTATAATTTTGGTCTAGTGCGCAATCGGACTACTGTTTGGGTTTGTTCGCCAGTGGTCGCCGCTATTTCCGCGCAAATTCCGATCTACCCGCGCGATGATGCAGCCGACAAATGATATGAACATCGGCGGTGCTTGTAATTTATCTTCATCTACACTATGCATGATGGCTCTTTTTGAGCTGTACTTGACGGCCGCCTTATCTCCTATTCTATTTATAGAACATACTCATGAAATATTACCTACGATTTTTCGTGCGAAATAAATAAAAAAAATATACTCTATATAGAGTAGGGTGTATTTCTTATACCGTTTCATAAAAAATATCTTCTTATAATTAATAAAAATAAATAAATAACTGTTAAATGACTTATAAAAATTAACCATTTGTTAGCAACATGTAGATACTTCAAGCTATATGTAGATACTTCAAGTCAGTCAGTTAATTATAAAGAGTTTAATGTGTTCAAATATGGAATGCCAATTTTCGAAGAAGAGCTAGAGTATAAATTTACCTAGTCCAAAGAGTTGGTAAATTGAAGTGAAACTTAAAGGATTCGCCACCTGTACAAGCTCACTCAGTAACTGGAACAACTTCTATCTGAAATAGGTGACTTAGGAACGTTCCAGTCTATAGGAAACATACATGTACAATAAATAACTCCTGGCTTACTTTAGTCAGCGGACAATAGAAGACTAAAATGATAATATAATGAGACTGTTACATTAGTTTCCAAAAACAAAAAATACTATTTTCGTATGCTATAAATATGTCAGTTAGACATCAGATAGAGAATTTTAAAGCTTTAAAAATATTAAAACACTTGTGTATTGTTAACAGGTACACAAAGAATGTGGTGTGACCATGACGATGGAATCTTCGAGTTTGACGGCTCCAGTGTCGACTCCTGGCGCAATGCGGCGGAACGCTCTCCGCGCGCCCCCACCTGATGCGATCCTATTAGAATTTGCTGCGTCTTTGGCAGAAAAGAAGAAACTCTTCACTGGTCTGGGAGATGATCTGTGTGACGAGCTAGATTTCGCGCAAGATGGCGACGATAATTGTTGGAACGGGAAGTCAGTTGGCGAGTGAGTGTCTCTGTAATACTATAAAAAATAATTTTTACTACTGTATTTCCAGAAACATTTAGTTCAATAATTAAATTGTATTTCACAAAGAAAAACCGTCTTCAATTGTGGTGAAACTAGTTATTTTTATTTAAAAACTACTGCTACTAAACCGGTTATGATAAAATTTCTGTGGGACTAATCTGTAAGTACAATATATCCTTTTAGATAAACAAAGAATTTTCCTAATCGGTTTATAATTGACGGAGTTATGAGGTAACAAACATTAAAAAATACAATCAAACTGGGAACTTCCTTCTTTTTGAGGTCAGTTTAAACGTGGTATCTATTTAGGTATTTTTGTAAGTGATTGATAATAAGGTATATATCTATAGTCTCCATATTAATTTTCACATGATGGGAATTGTTCTTTTTTAATTCAAAATCTTACATTTTTTAACATTTTTCATAAGGACGCATAGACCACAAAGTATACAGCTTATCCATATTTTGCTATATATTTTTTTATTCTCTACTTTTTTATTACTAAAAAAATATATTTGATTAAGCTCATTGTCCTTTTGTTTAGTTACACGAAACCATTGGTGCCATCGGCGTCTCTAAGCCATCAAAAATACAACCCAGAACTTTTGAGCATCCCGCGGGACACGAGGGTGGCTGCTCTCGGCGATAAACTGCAGCAGGCAAGACAGGTAATGTAACTTATAATCACCAAATAACAATCTCTACTCTTATTTATATTTATAAAAAGCTCTATAAAGACATTCCAGCCAGTATTTATCTGTCTAACTCTTATATAGGAACAAATAAGTACTAGATGTATATAAATTTGTTCTGTTAACGTTATAGTTATAGTTGTATAACGTTCATAGGAATTAATTATTATGGTAATAATCTTACAACAGTTGCTGGTAAGGACGACAATTGGGAGTGACGCAAATGCCGCGGATGTGTTCATGCTGGGCGACGAAGCCAGCGAGGAAGGTTCTGGAAGTTATCGCAGTTACGATGACGACGCTTCTTACGATACCGAGGGTTCTGGAGATGAGGGCTCAGGGATGCATGAAACAAGTAAGTTTATCATATATATAATCATTCCATTACCAAGAATAGCAAACAAATCGACGGCTTAATTTATCGAAAGAGATAACCGTAGTTTATACATATAAACAGCACCGGGAGAGGCTTATGTACAGCAGTGGACAGATAATTGCTATATTAATACCATATTTTAATTTCATCCTTTATACATACACAAAAAATCTATTTGATTTTTATACTATTAGTTAGGATGTATAATTATTTACTAAAAGTCTATCTATATTTTTTTCTTATATAATTTTTTTTTTATTTATAAACAGGAAACAGAGCGTATGAAGGCATAGAGACGCCTTATACCACGGCACCGGAGACTGGAGCGGCGACCATATCGCGGCCGATCCTCCCCGCAGTTTTCAGCGTGGCCGTGCTCGCTGGCCTCAGCCACTGCCTCACCTAAATCCCCACCTAGAGTCCCTGTGACAAGACTCTCCTCACTCGACACAAAACCAGTGAGACCTTTACGAATACCCATATCATTGTGAAGTTATGAGTGGAAAGTAAAGCGTGTGTGAAGTGTGACTACAAGTAGAACTTAGTCTGAATTAAAAGACACGATCCCGTACGGGATCTTAGTTTGGCGGCCTAGTATGGACTTGTAGCACGCTGTATAGCTAGTCCCCGAACATAGAATGATATATTAGAATCTCGCAATGCAGACCGCAATCGTGCATTTAAAAAGTATATTGACAAAGTCTGCAATAAATGTACAGTGCATATCGTATTGTCTTCATTTTGTAAATAATCTTGGTATTTTATAGTAGCATTAAAATATTTAAATTATAATTGAAGCTTTACAATACTTTTGCATTTAAAAGTTTTGGATGTGAATCCTCAAATGTATCGTCATAATAATAATATAATTTGAAGAAACTCTAATGTTGTTAAATAATAGCTGATTGGCAATAATTTTATTAAGTGAAAAAGTATAACGATTAGACACGAGTGATAACGGTAATATAAGGATTGACTGTACAGAAATTACTGTAAATACCTGAAATCCTACTGGTTTAGGTGCTTAGCTAATAATTGTATTTTGTTGCCATATTAATGTTACGGTTATAATTATTTATAATATTTTAAGTCATATTTTAATCTAAAACTATGTTATGTGATACGTATACCGCAATGAAACTTGTGTAACTGGTAGGTATACGCGCACGTTATTTATTTTATTAATGGTATTATGTAATAAAAAATTAAAATCCTTGTATACATACCTACTCTTCGTAACAACATTATTCAAACTAATTTATATTAAGTATATAATAAGGTGCTTCGAATGAAATATAAATAATTATCTCAAATATGAACAAATTGAATTTTTAAAAATAATTTCCGTCTTATCATTTAAAGCTTGTAAACTCAAATGAAACGACGAAATTATATTACCGGGACGTACATTTATTACAAAAGAGAAAATATATTATCACATAAATATAATAAATTATATTGTAAAAACGTAATAGAAACTGTAATATTGCAGTAGCCATTTAATGGCACGATTTAAGTTTTGTATAATGAATAACTACGTAGTTAGTATAAAAGGACTCGATGAGGGTGTGTGTGGACCAGGACGATATTGGAAACGTTTTTGTGTTGTCAACGGTATTGTTATGGTATATTACAGCCCTAAATGATTGGTATTTATTTATGAGGTTTTATAGGGATGTCACTGTAATCTTCTGAAGTAAAATGAGTACTAAATAAAACTAAATAATTAAGTAAATTTTAAATTCAATCACATATTAATGTACGAATATAAAATTGCTTGTTTTTTTTTATTTAATTTCTATAAAATCCCAAGTGTTTAAAATGATCACTGTATTATAATACATATATCTTAATTTAATACATATATCTTAATCTTAATTTATATTGGCAATTCATCTAATCAACAGTTTAATAATGTGGAAATAAATATAGCAAGGAACTGTTCCGCTATTTTGCACATTTAACATATCAGCAATTCATATCAACATGTTCACATTACTGATTCTCATAGAAAACTGTTAAAAAGATGAAATTAAAAAATAAATCTTTTAAGAAGCCCATAATGTGACCATTTTCCAATTTCAAATTCCAATGATACACAATATAAAAATAAAAATTGTTGGTTTTATATTTTTAACGAAAAAATCCAAATTTATTTAGATATAACGGAACAAACAATAAGTTCAATGACCGTGAATTAAAATTTTTATAATTTTTCTGAAATATACTCGTATATAAATATAATGTTTTTTAAAGTTAATATTTCACTTTGAGTGGCCACTTACGAGATTTACACTGATTTCCCTGAAAGCCTGTTTACTACCACACCAATAAATCTAAATGAGATAATCACCTATATAATATCTACTTACTTATACAATCAATTAAGATTTCCTCTAATTTAATTAATAATTACTCGTTATTAATTTCAACATATCTGAACCTTAAAATAATACCTATGTTTAGACAATGGGACCGATTCTGAGACGCCATTTCTTTAAACTTATCTAAGTTAATATTTTAATTTTTCAAAGGTTCTATTTTATGGATCGTTAAAAACTAAAATTATATTAAATTTGACTTAAATCAATTGGTTTATAGTTCATATTAATCCTAGTTCAGATAGGTTTAGAGAAATAGTGCCTCAGAATCGACCCCACTGAAGGACGCGAGAATACTTATTAGATATATTTATGTTTCCTTAATGAAGTCAACATGAAAATGATTTCCAATCTGTGTAAATATTGTTGGAATGGTGATAGAATGTTTGAAAGAAATTTGCTGTTATATCTGAGTATATAATATTATGAAAATAAACTCTGTACTATATTTCTTTTGTTTCATTTCTCCAAAAAACACTCTAAGGTACATAAGTCGACTTCTTATCTGACACGTAATACATACTTAGAAATGTATCATACGTAATACATACAGAAATATCTCACATATATAAATCATATGAACAAAAATAGCTCGAGCCCCAAGCAAAAAGGGTGTGACCAGGGACTTATTATTTAGTTTCTAAAAAAAATTATGAAAAATTGAAAAAGTTGCATTAATTTAAAATTTAATAGTCCATTGTCCAATACTCGTAATGTCTTTCTATTCTACCTGATCAGTTTCAAAATTCTAGTGTCATAAAAAAAAGTAAATTCGATTTAAGATTCTACTTATACCTACTTAAAAATATTCAATATCTTCCATAACTTCGTGTTATGATAATACGAAATTGGGGGTAAATACCCCTACATATTTTATAAAATCCTTTTGTAATTGTATCTTTGGACTGCGATATTTAATCAAAAAAACAAACAAATAAACATATGTACTCGTACAATACATGAAATTAATAATTTTAATCTAGCAATAACAATACAAGTATGCTTATACCATAGAGTATGTGTGTAATTTATTTTTTATATACGAAAAAGCGCCGCCTATGCTATTTAGTATACAGTAATGGACTATCAATAAAGAATGAAACAGCAAGAATGATGTCAGGTTAGTTGACCCACTGTGGCGAATTTGCTATGGCCGCATGGAGATTGACTTGATAGGGCATAATGCTAGCAATGTAAAAATGTATGTTATGTGTGATTTTAATGAGAGTTTCTTTTTTTGATGGGTGAAAAAGGTATGGTAACCCCGCCTGCGCTAACGAGATACGCCGACGGAGCACCAGTGAAGGGTGATAGATGAGAATGAAAACAGGCCAGTTAGCCCATCATGATGATTTCATCAGGAATTAACCATGATAGTTTCCAGGGGGAACCGCGAGGAGGTCGACCTGGTTGGCTATATTGCTAGCAATAGGATTCTCAGTCTCCATTACTAACAATCCCTTTCCCCCCTTTTAATGAGAGCTGATAGGTAATAATGAAGTCAAATCAATTGGTACATTGTGAAGAATTCACCAAAAATTAACCATGGTGGTTTCTGGGGGAGGGAGGGGGACCACGAGAATATCTACCTGACAAGGTGTATTAGTAGCTATATTAGGTCCACTAGATCTCATTGTCTCCCCTTTACTAGATACTTATAGCCTATAGTATATAGCAGGAATAAGTAATATATAACAGCAGCTAATATAACAACAGAACGGAATGGAATAAAGTCCCAACATTTCCAATTCCTGGAATATATTATTCATGCATCCTATTTGTCTGAATAGTATTAGGTATGAAAAGAACAGTTTATTATATAGACAGCGTACATGTAATCTCTAAGCGCCATGCAATTTCATTTATTATTTCAAATGTATGATAGGATTTATCAATATTTATTACCACATTCCATTGAATTTATTATCTTGTACTATTTGTTTTCAACTTTTGTATTACAATAGTATCGTATTCTGATATACACTTTACCTATTTACAGTTTTAAGCAATATGTAAACGTGACAAAAAAAAACATTTTGACTATTTCTTTACTTCTAAACATGAAAGCTATTATCGATTTAGCGATACATTCAATTAACAAATTTTGTGTACGAAAAACATAAGCAACTTGCAACATACACGTTTGCTCCCTGGGTTATAAAAAAATAAGCAACTTTTTATTCTCATCTCATAACATTCCGATTACACAGAGGAATAAAACTAGTACTATAAGACAAAATAAAACTATAAGATCATCTATATCCGATCCATAGCTCTATTGTCTCAAAAGTCTGCCGACATTCAATAAAAGTTCAAGGAATCGAAACGAATAACCGATAGAATAAGTCAAGAGCGTATCAAGCGGCCATTTCACGCACCATTGGTCCACTAGGTCGGTTGGTTATGCTCAATTTGTACAATTGCTTATACGACTCCGTATGATATCGTTTCATCTTTCATTGGCTCAACACAAATGAAGATTTGAAAACGGAAAATGAAGTTATAAAAGCAAAAATGTTTCGTAGAATTAAATTCTGGTAGTAAAAAATACTGTCTTATTTTATTATTACAAAATTTCAATACTTAAATAATATATGTATATGTATGTTCGTATACAGAAAAGATTTACCTGTACTTATTGAAGATTTGTTTATAACATACACGGCCAATAAACAGGAGGCTCTACTGTTGGTAAATGACTACCGGTGCCTGTAACTACCCGCAACGCATTGCGTGTGTCTTACCGGCCTTTCAAGAAGATATATACCCTTTTCTAGAATTTAATTCCATAGTGTACTGCGCGAAAGGAAATGTCTAGGAAAAAGCTCTGTGGAAGATCGCTACTTACGTAATTGAGATGGATCTCACCTACCTACCTACAAGTGTATCTGTTATATTTTTTGTGTTCTTTCATTTTTTATATTGTAGATATAACCTAAATAAAACACATTCATTCTTTCATTTAAATTTTTTTAATCTTTTATATAATAACAAAATTTGTAGAAAAATTTGTTAAAAGATTAGAATTAGAAAGAATTCAAAAGATTTCAATAAAAATCATACATAACCATTCATCAAATATATCGTTATATCCTTGAAAATATCTGGCTCTTGGATTCTTGATTGGATCTTGCTAAGCAATTAAGTCGATATAAAATAAAATAAATAAAATCAACAAACCTACTTGAGAAAATAATTTAAAGATACTAGTGAAGGTTTTTTGTTATCAAGTAAGCTTGAATGTGTATTCAGGTCACCTTATTTGTTTATCCTAATTAACTTACATTGATTCTTTGTGTATATTTGAAAAATGAACACATTTGCTGTATCGTGCGTATATTATCAGTTTACGCATGACTGGCTTTAATTCCCCGTTACGTATCAGAGTTTTTTAAACTTTGAATCACAGATTATGATTAATGAATGTAGTTATTATTTTCATAAAATCAACGATCTGGTTTGATTTAATTTTATCTATGTCAATGGATGCCACAAAATTACACTAATCGCCTGGTCCTCAAGCTTGGATACCTTGTGGAATGAGGAATCAGTCAACAAATATCTAGTAGCAGAACCCAGAACACCCAGACTGGAGACAATTCAAAAGTTTATTTTCTAAGCCCGATTGGGAACCAAGTCCGTTTCGTTTGCACAAAACAATGTGTTTCCCACTATGCCACGAAGATCATAAAATAGCTTTTTTAATAAAGTCATAATAGCACATTTCTATACTGAGTAATTTCAGTTAGCCCCTCTGTATAGATAGATATTTATTTACATTACTTACAGCACACAAATTACAATATAAACATACACATAATACACAGTAACAGAAATAAAAGAATGAAAATAAAAAAACAACAAAACAAAAAAAAAAAATACATAATACTATCACAGTATTAGGGACAACCAGTGGTCCAACGTCTTTGGCTATCTAGTATAGAAATAGTTACACAGTGATACCATCTTATAGCAATCTAAAATTATTATTTGAATTAAAAAGCTATCGTTTTCAAAAAGCAGTTTTATTCTTTCCAAGTTATATAACTATATATAACTTGGAAATTAACCTAATTATATGACTAACAAGAAAATAATTATGTAGTAAAATATTACCACGTATACCTAGTACCTACAACGGGTGAAGTTTCACATTTCAGTACCATTTCTAGAGGCAACATGTCTAGAGATCGATGGGCCTCAACTAAAAACGACAAAGGGGCTTCGTAATGAGTTTTGTTCTTTGTGAGACAAACTCCTAACTGTTTCTACTCAGAAAGGGTATTTATTGAAATAAACGACAGTTCCTTGACATCGAGCATGAGAAGTTTGCCGAGATTTGTAATAAATTTGTTTAAGATAACATCACCATTGACATGTATTAGAAGCCTTAATTACGATACATTAATAGTGCAAATATTAATTTCATAATATTCATTCGAGTTATTTCATGACTAAAAAACCCTTTTTCATAATCTTCGACATTCGATGACTTATCGCAAAATTCATTTATGATACTCATATATATGATATATTTCTAGATCTTTTTATATTTAGATCTAAATTTATTTTGTTCGGACTCTATTGTAAATTATTTATTAATTATTGTGAATTATTCATCTAAAAATTTATGTCACACACTACATGTGTGAATAAAATTTAATATCTGGGAACAGTTGCAAATTACAATACATAGTCATAAGTCCAGTATACCACTAATGAACCAACAGATAGAAGAAAGTAATGCACCCCTATTGAAATCATTCTCTGTACACATATAGTAATATGATAGCAATGAGTTATCGAAAGATCTAAAACCAATACCCACTTTTTCCTCGACAAATACTAAAAGGATATAAATACGGCAACACGGCCGATGAAAAAGAAAGATAATTAGTCATTCGCAGTTTGAGTGCCCAACGATTAACACTAATCTTCGAGCAGCGATATATTAATTTGCCTAAAGATGCTTCATTTAGAAATGAAAGACGTGTCGCTAAACGTGTGTGGACGAGATGGCTGTCGGGAACTGATGACTAATATAAATATATTACTAATGATAGTGGAATTAAACAAAATAATTCTAATCAAATAACTAGTGGTCTTAATGATACAGATACCTTTGCATAATTTTCAAATAACGAACTTTAAAATATTAGTTTTGATGATTTCAGTTAAAACAGATTCGCCAAGAGATAATCAACATCCCGAGTGAGGGTCGCACAGTTCATATAACATGGAATGCAGCTCGTTTTAATTATCGTTTGATCTTTGCGCTGGGCTGCCTCGGTTGCGGTGTCAACTCGTGTCACCTTCGTGACTTTCGCAATGGAGTCCTATTTGTTAATCCATATCGATTCCAACCATACTATTCAGCCGATGGAATATAGGAATCATAGGTAAAGCTTTATATGATGTTATGTTACTGTAATCTGCAGGAATCGAAAT